ATTTTCGCACTTAGGCGTTTATAAATCAAAATAAAATGATTTTGTTACCTAGCTTAAGACTTTTGTCAAAATTAATAATTTTTAAATTAATAATTACTTTCCTCCATGAGATTTAAAAAAATTTTTTTTTAATTTTTGTATTTTAGGGCAGGCTGTACAGGGTGTTCAGGGTCTCACTACTAGATCAGACTTGTAGTAATCTGCCTGTTTACAGTCTCCCAAAAGCTGAGATTACAGGTGTGCCACCATGCCCAGTCTCAATTGCCTTCTCAGCAGGCCTCAGGGGCAGGCCCAGAGATCGAACCCCCAGCCCGGTGCCTGCTTGCATGCACTTTAATCCGCTGAGCTATTTGGCCGGCCCTATTAGCATATTTTAATATGGCACACAATTACCTAGATTGAACCAAATGATTCACAAAGTATCTGTAAATACAACATCCTATAGGCACAGCCCTGACAAATATTATGGGGACCCCGGTGGGTGGACAATCTTATAGAACACCCTTTAGGGGTTCACCTGTTGAAGCCATGCCCTGTGGTAGACAACCTTGAACTCAAGAGGACTCTGGCCACCCTGCTGTAATGGTGAATTTATAGGCTTTGCCTCCAGCATCCTCAGCACAGTCGGGCGCTGCTAGGAGAGCCGCAAGGGTTGCTGCATTCTGTGGAAGAGCTGACACACCCACAAGATTGTCCCAGCAATAGGAGCCTGGTCTTGAGCCAAAGGAGGGTTGTGCTTCTGCTTCATATACAGCTTTGAAGTTGCATCAATGTTAGCCCATAGTGCTCAAGGATCAGGCGGTATTGATCATCAATACTGAGGTTAGATATATCGAAACTTTCAAATTTCTTTTAGATACTTAATGCTTGACTTGCATTACATACATCTTTTCAAATGTAATAGCCATGAACTTCTGTAACTCATTCCCTCTAAAGATAAGCATCCAGGATTGAGCATCACCTTGAGGAAGCCAGGAAAAGTCCCTTAAACTTATTAAGTGTGTGTGTGTGTGTGTGTGTGTGTGTGTGTGTGTATGTGTGTATGTGTAACATTTTAGTGAAAACTTGGTCATATGTCAACCTCTGACAGGAATGCAACCTTGTGATCAGTTGGAAAGCTAATAGCATATATCTGTGGAAGAGAAGCAGAATACTACAGGACCATATATCCATCATCTATAATAGGCATCCCAATGAATGGAAAGTGGTTGCTGTCATAAACTACATTGTCCTTCAGTGACAGTGAAGGACAGTCTCCAGTGTCTGGTCTGTTACACCTGCTTCTGAGCTACCTGCTCACTCTGGTTTCCTGGTTTCCCCACAAGCTCACTATTTGTCTGGGCAGTATGGCAGGCTTTTTACCTCAATTCCTGCTGCCAAGCCAGTCCCACCTAATACAGGCTCTGAATGCACCTGCTGCTTGTTCTCCAGAGTTCAAGTCCCTAAAGCCCACACAAGGAATTCTCCAGTCTGGGTCCTGCCCCTCTCTCTAGCCTACTTTCTGGTACTCCTTGATATCAATCTTTTATGCCAGATACTAAGCGACGCCACCATGCACGTCTCTCTTCCTGAAAAGGTGTTATAAAGTCCTAGAACAAACATTTTTCCAGTGGACTTTACTGAGATCTGATGGCTGAGAATTCAGAAAATTCTAGAAAGGCAGATTTTGAGATAGTAAGTGTGCAGGAATGTGTGTGTGTGTGTGTGTGTGTCTCGCAGCCCTGCTGCTTAACTATTGTCATTAAAGCTAGCTACCTTCCTCATTCCATTCCCTGCCCCACCCCCAAGTCTTATCCTAGGCTTTTTTCTTTTTTTTTAGCAGAATATATTTATTGAGAGAAAGAAAGCTCCTGTCCAAGAGGGGGACAGGAGGGGTGCCCGAGCGGGTAGTTCCCCGTCCTAGGCTTTTTTCATCCCAACCTTTTTTCTTTCTTTTATACAAATATAATTTAAAAATTACAGACACCTAGTCAGACATGGTGGCATATGTTTGTAATCCCAGCTGGTTGGGAGGCTGAGGCAGGAAAATCACAAGTTTGAGATCAACCTGGGCAATTTAGGAGTGCTTTTCTCAAAATAAAAAACAAGGACGCCTGGGGATGTAGCTCAGTTCTAGAGCATCCTTGAGTTGAGCCCCAGCACCATGCAAAAACAAACCACCAGATATCGAGTACATTATACAGTTGTTTTCCTTTTCAATTCCCAAAAGAAAAACATACTTTTTAAAAAAATGTTGAAAACAAGGCAGCAATGTGGGAATTTTATTTTATTTTTTTTTTTTAAAGCCCCTGTCTTTTATTTATTTATTTATTTAATTTATTTTTTATTTGTGTGTGTGTGTGTGTGTGTGTGTGTGTGTGGCCAGCTCAGCCCACCAGGGGGTGGGGCTTGCTGGCATGTGGTGCTGGGGGATTGAACCGCGGTCCCTGTGCTTTGCTAAACTTGTTCTAAGTAGGTGCTTTAGACCACTGAGCCATCTCTCCAGCCCCAATGTGGGAATTTTAAAAAGATAAAGTTAAGGGCCGGGGAGATAGCTCAGTGGCACAGCACCTGCCTGGCAAACACAAGGTCCTGAGTTTGATTCTCAGTTAAAAAACAACAAAAAAAACCCCCATAAAATTAAGCAAAAAAAGAAAGGCAAAATAACTAAGTAAAAATAAACACATGAGAAATGACTGCACACAATGAGAAAAATTGTTGATACCTTAGGACAATTTCTCAACTTTGACACTACTGACACTTCAGTCTGGACAATTAATTCTGTTTTATAGACTGTTCTGTGCATGCCATGGGACGTACAGCAGCCAAGATGGAAGCAGCGCGGCTCTCTCCCTGGGACATAGACTGCTCCGCTGACAAACGTCTCTTAGGGGGAAAGCTGACCCCCACCCCACACACGAGGTTTAGAACTCTGTTAGACTAAGAGAAAAATCTTCCTTCTGTATTAACCTTGCCAGATTGGAAGAGGAAAACCGCTTATAAAAACGCATACAATAGTCTACTTTTTCAAGAGTTAAAATTCGCTTGCTTGGCTCCATTTTATATGAACAGTTGAAAAAAGCTGAAAAGCTTCTTTTTAGTGTCTAATGTATAATAAAATTGACTTTTCAGTTGTTGGAAACCCGAGCTAAGAATGAAATATCACAAATATTACTTCAATTAGCCTGAGAAATAAAAATGTCTAAATCATCATAGTTCTTGATACCCGTTCAAAATGTGTATTTTATATGTTCTCAAAACAGCTTTATACCTTCCTTTCGGCCGGAACCGCCATCTTCCAGTAATTTGCCAAAATGACTAACACAAAGGGCAAGAGGAGGGGAACCCGGTATATGTTTTCCAGGCCTTTTAGAAAACATGGGGTTGTTCCTTTGGCTACATACATGCGAATCTACAAAAAGGGTGATATTGTA